GGATTTTGTCAAGTGCTTTTTCAGAGTCTCTTTAAGAAAAAAAATATACCTTTGGCCCTTTTTTCCTATTGATATGATATATTACAGTAATTGATTTTTGGTTGTGACACCTGCCTTTATCCCTGGGATAAGTCGCATATAGCCATGGTGTATAATCCTCTTTATATGTTGTTAGATTCAGTCTGCTAGCAAATATTGAGAATATTTGCATCTATATTGACAAAACATATTGATTTTCTTATGACATCTTTGTTTGGTTTGGTATCAGGCGAATGATGGCCTCATAGAGTGAATTTGGATATGTTCTTTTCTGTTTTTTGGAAGAGTTTATAAAGAATTAGTGTTAATTCTTTAAATGTTTGGTAGAATTCACCAGTGAAGTCACTTGGACCTGTGTCTTTTCTTTGTGGGAGATTTTTCAGTTACTAATTCAATCTATTTGTTATAGGTTTATTCAGATTTTCTGTTTCTTCTCAAATCAGTTTTGCTATTTTGTGTCTTTCTAGGAATTTGTCCATTTCTTTTAGGTTTTCTAGTTTTTGGCGTATAATTTTTCATAGTATCCCATGTAACCATTTTTATTTCTGTAAAGTTGATAGGGATGATGTCTCTTTTGGTCTTGATTTTAGTATTTTGAATTGTTTTCTCTTGACCAGTTTAGCCAGAGTTTTGTTGATTTTTGTTATCTTTTTGAAGAACCAACTTTTGGTTTCACTGATTTTCTCAATTGTTTTACCATCCTCTATTTTATTTATGTGTGGTCTGATATTTGTTACTTCCTTCTATCAGCTTGCTTTGGGTTTAATTTGCTCTTCTTTTTCTAGTTTCTTTCCTTTTTTTTTTTTTTTATTTACTTGCGAGAGAGAGAATGAGAGACAGAGAGCATGAGGGGGGGAGGGTCAGAGGGAGAAGCAGACTCCCTGCCGAGCAGGGAGCCTGATGTGGGACTCGATCCCGGGACTCCAGGATCATGACCTGAGCCGAAGGCAGTCGCTTAACCAACTGAGCCACCCAGGCGCCCTCTTTTTCTAGTTTCTTAAGGTGGAAGGTTAGGTTATTGATTTCAAATCTTCTTTTTTTAGTTTAGGCATTTACGGCTCCCTCTGGGCCCTATTTTAGCTGCATCTCATCAGGTTTTGGTATGTTGGGTTTTCCTTTTCATTCATCTCAAAGTAGTTTTCCCATTTCCCTTATGATCTCTTCTTTGACCCATTCATTATTTAGGAACATCTTTTGTTTTTATCTGCTGTATTTATTAAATAAGTGTACTAAGATAGAATTATATTTGAACTAAGATAGAATTATGTGACAGTCCCTGGTGCTTACCTTCTAAAAATAACATCTAGCTTTAGCTTGTCTCAATGGAGAAAGTATTAAAAAAAGTAGGATCTTCACTCTTAACTTGCTTATAATAAATAGATTTGAACATTTTTAACATATAATGAAGACAACTTGGTATTGCAAAAGCCCTACTGAAATCTAACATCTCTACTGTCCTACCTTTGTGTAATAAATTCTCTGTGGAGAGTATGAAAAAATCAATGGCTAGTAAGTTTGTTCATTGTGAGGGCTAGGGACACAAGCTTTCTGAGTGTTTCCCTTGGGGCTTTCTATTTCTGGCTCACAAATGTGTGTGTGAGGGGTGGGGGGTGGAGAAGTAAAATGGGTAGTGGATAAAGATACCACTGTTTAAAGATAGCTATTTAAAATTTCATGTCGCTCTATGTGAATAGAAATAAAACTAGAAAAAGCTAAATTTCATATTATTTTCATAGTTTTCTTTGGCGTTTGTGTTGGTGCATAAAATCAGCACTTTTACTTAGCCACATTAATGTACTTCCTTACAGAAGAAATAGGAGAGAGCAAGGGGACAATGTGGTAATCACTGAGTTTGTGAAAATTTTATGAAACATTGGTAAGGATGATTTTTGGGCCAGAGATATTTGGGAGGAATTTGTGAGGTTGATTTCAGTTTTCGTTTCTGGTTCCTTCATTGATTTCTCCTAACCCTCCCCTAATCATTACGGCTTATGAAACATACGAAGTTCAGTTGTTAAGGAAACTAGTATACCAACCCACATTTGTATAATACGTTTTTCTTTTCTTTTTAAAAAAGATTTATTTATATATTTTGAGCAAGAGGGCATGTGAGTGGGAGGAGGGGCAGAGGGAAAGAGAGAGAGAGCATGGAGCCCGACGTGGGGCTTCATCCCACAACCGTGAGATCATGACCTGAGTCGAGATCAAGAGTTGGACACTTAACCAGCTGAGCCACACATGCGCCCCTGTATAGTACCTTTTTCTTTACAAAATGCTCTTCTACTTAAGATTCCCAGTAATCCTGCAATATACCTGATTCTCTTGAAAACTGGTACACTAAATCGATTTTAGCTGGCACCCAAAGCCAAAAATTCAGTCTACCATTGAGGAAAAAATTAAACTAGAGAAGTGGTGGTTATGTGGTTTTGATGTAATTTTACAGGAGAGGACGTAAAATACAGGAACCCTGGATTTATTTACTATGCCTTGCTAATTAAAAAAAGAAAGGAATAAAATAATATTCCTACCATGAAAACTAAACAAAGGGTTATAACTATTGTTGGATTTTTATGACTGTGTGAGGTTTGTTTAAAAAATCGGTCAAGTCTCTGAAGTACACTGTGTCCTCTTGCTGGTTTCTCAAAGGCAGCCTCTCCTGAATTAATTACAAACAGCAATATATGAGGTATTAGGTTATAGTATGGTGTGATTGATGATTCACTTCACGACATAGAGAACAGATGTGATTACCATTTATTTTACTATAGACCTGAATTTATGCCGTAAATATATTACTTTTTAAAAACTGTAGCAATAGCAAATATACTTTATTTCAATGATTTCAAAATATTACATTAAAGTTGTGTGGTTTTCTGAGGTGAATGTTATTATATTGGAATAAAAACATGGTGATGCATCTTATAAAAAGCTTTAAAAGACCTGTTTTTGGTTTTGTTTTTAAGAAAGAGTGCTAGGGGTCCGGTGGGGGGGCTGTGTGGGGGTGAGGGGCAAAGGGAGAGGGAGAGAAGCAGACTCCCTGCTGAGCACAGAGCCCCATGCAGGGCTCAATCCCACAACCCTGAGATCATGACCTGAGCTGAAATCAAGAGTTGAACACTTAACTGACTGAGCCACCCAGGCGCCCCTAAAAGACCTATTTTTGAAAAGTTGAAATTAATTTGGGAGTAGTACTGAAGCAGCCAGCTTTGCAATAGTGCTGGAAAGGGAAAGTTTTTACCCAGAGCCTTGGAGTATTCAGTCTTATTTCAGAGCCACCCTATAAAATGCACGATGCAGTGGTTGACCATCATGTTATCACCCAGGGTCTGGTAAATGTGGCTGATTCATATTTACAGTTCGGTTTTCCACCTAACCATTATACTTAGCAATGATCTGATCCTTGTAGGGTACTGGGCATTGTTGGTGTGTGATATTAATAGTGGTTTTCAAACAAGCAAATGAGAGTTTTTATATCCACATGAATATTGAGTTTGAGTTTCATTACCTGGTAAAGTTGCTACTTTATTCCAGTGATTTGTCAGTGTTTGAGTTTTGCATCTTCTCTTTAACAATTGCCTTTAAAGCCTCAGCAGTATTCCTTTCAGAATACTGAAGTTGTGACATTTTTATTCCCTGAGGGTAATTTTCAGAAAGATCTAGACATCATTCAGAACCTTGTCAGATAAAGTAGATAATCTGAGGCAGACTGTGTTGTAGCTTGTAAGAAACTAGCTCTAAAAGCACTTTCCCAAAAAACTTATTCATTGGAATAAATGTAACCCCTTTCAAGGTAATTGCTTTCAAGAAAATTTATTTGATGTACAAGTTCAGGTTGATGTATTTAAAAATTCATCACATTTAGCTCATAGTTACATGTTGTATAAGAACTTGGAGAGGTTCCAAAGCTAAACAATGAAGAAGATTAAATTACTTTGTCAGTGACCAAAAAATTATGCCATTGCAGGTAAATGAATAACAGAGATACTGAAAAGATGTCGTATGACCAATGGGAGCAGGTAGAAATCTCCTGAGACAGTCTAGGGTTATAATTAAAGGCTTGTAAAGGCAGGAGAGAATTATCCTGAAGATGTCAGGGACTTGCTGTGTGTTCCTTTGGATTCAACAAATTTGAAGAGGGACTTCATAGCCAAATTGCTTAGGATACATATTTATAAGTATATATATTATATAGGGCACTTGGGAGGCTCAGAAGCATCTGCCTTCAGCTCAGGTCATGATCTCAGTGTCCTCGGATCAAGTCCCACATCAGGCTTTTTGCTCAGTGAGGAGTCTGCTTCTCCCTCTTACTCTCCCTCTCCCTCTCTCTCAAATAAATAAATAAAAAAAAATAAAAAATCTTATAAATATATATATAGTATATATATTTGTATATACATACATACAATTTTTATACAGATTTTATGTTTCTAATTGTAAACATTTAAAAATCATAAAAAGTACAGATGAGAAAAAAGCTATTTATAATGACACCTGTCAGAGAAATCCTTATTGATGTTTTAACAAATATCCTTTCTTCTGGGTGTTATTTTATAATGTTGAAATCACACTGAACTTAGAATTTTAAATATTGATTTTTTTTTTTACTTACTGTTTTCTCAAGTCAATAAAAATTCCTTGTGAACAAAATATTTAGTGGCAGTCTTTTAGATTTTAGTATCCAGCTACATATGGTTCATAAAGTTTACTGTTAAACTACTTAAAGTTTATTATTGAAGAAATTATGAAAACTTACAGTATTTCTTCTCTCACACTCATGGTATCAAAAGTATCAGGAAAAAAATCAGGAAGCAAAGACTCATAAGGCATTTCATGGGATTATGCTTTCTTAGTTTCATCTACTTATTATTTGTAAATGTTTTCCTTACTAATATGCCGCCATAGTCACTTTCCTAGAAACAGAACTGAGAGAAAAAAATAGTTTCTTTTCTCTCTTGCTGAAGGTGGTTGGAGGCAAAGTAAAGAAACCTGGCAAACGTGGTCGGAAGCCAGCCAAAATTGACTTGAAGGCAAAACTTGAGAGGAGCCGGCAGAGTGCAAGAGAATGCCGAGCTAGGAAAAAACTAAGATATCAGTATTTGGAAGAGTTGGTATCCAGTCGGGAAAGAGCCATATGTGCCCTCAGAGAGGAACTGGAAATG